GCATTAACCTTACCCAAAGGATGTCAATCACTTTTTCAAGAACGATTTAAGGATTTAGACAATCGAATAGTGTCTTAACCTGTGGGATTTTTTTGTTTATCTTGACTTTTTAAATTTTCAGAGCATTTTTTACGTGAAATCTCTGATATGTTCAAAGCGTTTAAGGTATTTTTGTTTTCTGCAGATTCACAACTCTTAAGGACTTTGTTGCCTCTACCCAAGAAAAGCCTGTAGCTAGGCCATGATCAATAAGTTAATTTTGATTCTTGTGTGATTTTTTTTATCTCTGTCCTTCCTTGATATTTTTTTATATGACAACACTATTCCATACTTGTCTGTGTGTTTTAAATTTTTCTCTTAGGTTTATACATATTTTTTATTTTATTTAGCCATCTGAAAGAGAAAAAAAAGAATAGGAAATCTTATTAAAATCATATTCAAAAGCTTATGATTAAACTGTCGGAGATTGTTTCATAATATTTTTCTTCTACATTCTGTATACACTGTACATGAAAAACATGGGAAAATGGTCAAACGATTGTTTCATTAATTTTGCAAAATTTGACTTTTAATATATTGTTTTAATTATTCGTGTTTATTCAAAATTTCTTGTATAAGAACACATTTTAACCGCCCTAGTTCTTATAAGGTTAACTTCACGGTAGAAAACCCCTGCAACAAAGAACCTGATATAATTAATAAGTCTAGAGCCACGGTGTTCCAAGATTTGTTCATACTAAAATCCCAAGAGCATTCAATTAAACCGAATCAGAATAATTATTACTGCCCCATAGCTTCATTTTAAACGGTTAATTTAATAGAAGGGAACCCCACCCATTCGTTTCCATTTTGACTGACCACCTCCCAAGGTTTGGCAGAAGATGAGATATCATAGAAACATCATATGTATCAAGTTACACCAACATCTTTGTCCAGCTGCCAAGATGCTGCATTCCATATGTAAGGTTCACGAGGGATTCACAAGTAATCATGAAAACATTTCCCGGTGAAAAATAAAACTAAATGTCATTATTTTTTGCACTGCTTACTTTATAAAAGATTTTCTGTCTTCAAAAAGACACATTTATTTGCATCAGGTAATAATTCCTTGACAATCCGGAATTTTCGATTCTATACGTACATCTTTGAAAATTATGATCTGGTATTGGTTCGGAAAGGTCGTACTATTTTTATTCATTTCCTTTATTAGTGTTATTTCTTTAAGTTTTGATTTATTTCAAGAAATACATTCCTTAGATCAATCATGCAGAAAAACTTGAAAGTAATGAATTAAAATTTAACTTAAATGAGAATCGCTTATTGTACAGGTTAATATCTAAATTGTTTACATGGTAATGTTAACTCGTTCACGCATAAGTCGACAACATGGCTTTGGTAGGAGGAATTGAAAAAAAATGTACAAGAAATTATTTCACCGGTTAAAGATTCGAGAATTTCTACACATGAACGGTTCAATAGCATGAGTGCATAATTGATGCAAGTACGAATATTTAAAAAAAAAATGAAGATGCATTTAGGATATTCTTAGACATGTGCGAACTGGCGGGGTTTTATGTAAGCCTGGATTTCCTTTGATATTCTGGACAACATCAAAAAATGCAAATATAAGTAATAAACAACGATTATTCAGTGAACATGGCATTATGAATAGCAATAGCTCTGCTGTCTTATTTTCAATGATGCGCTAGCGCGCATCATGGAATATGCCAGCAGAGCAATTGCTATTCATAACCATGTTCACTGAATAACGTTGTTTATTTCTTAAATATTTCCATGTAATAATTGTATATATAAATGTTGTTAACCTGGAGGGTTGACTCTGGTTTACAATTTTTATAAATTAATAAAGTTTACTTAGTAGCCCAACATTTTTGGAAGAAAACAATTCATGAAACTTGATAACATTTGGTCTTGAAACAGAATATTTTGGGAATATACAATTTGCTTTCAACTGAAATTATTACAGCAAAAAATATCGTGAAATTCATCACCAACATCTTTTTTACAAAAAAAAAAAAAATATTCTGTAAACTCTTTCAGTACCTTCCCATCTTCCCATTTCAATTGGTAGTTTATGATTTGGTTTTCTCAACCTAGCTAAAATTTGCTTCTCGTAATTACTTAAGACGCTATCTACATAAAATTGACATCCAAAGTTATCTATATGTCACATCTTTTGAAGAATCATTGCAGTTTGATTCCAAATTTTGTGGAAACTGATCTAATAACATTTGTTTCAAACTTTTAATAAGCCAAGCTCTGTGAAATAATTGATTCTGATTCTAAATAATAGGATAATTTGGAAAGGGGTTGAGGATTTACTTTTGTACATTTTCAGAGCATTTTCTACAATTTTACATAATAGGAATCACTCATAATATTTCTCCATCATCATAGAGAGCTTCCAGTTTCTTCTAGACTGGTCTGATCCTGGTGACCATCAGAAGGATCCTCATTCACTTGGGCAGCGTGTGCAAGATTGGCTTTCGGATGATGTTCAAGAATGTGAAATCCAGTCCAAAAGGAAACTGGTAAAAAAAATTGATGCTTATAGAATGCAAAGGAAATCCTAAGCTCAAGTCAATGCAGTTTGATTTACTGAGGTTGGAATCTCCTTAAGAAACACAACAACAGGTTTACCCTTGGAAATTTTTGCTCTTTTAAAAGATCTAAAGCCTTAGTCTGCCACCTCCTCAAGTATAGTAATGGCAAATGAGCTAGTTATTATTTTCCCTTTAATCCTAGACTTGTAGGCCTGTCTCAGGGGAAATACTGGCCCATTATCACACATAACTTTCCTTAAGAGGTCCGGAAAGTTCCAGATAGGACAACCATTTGGTATGGTTTTACTTTGATGACCACCACTATATTCTGACTGTCCCGGGAAGAGGGCCTGAAAAATACAACACATAAATAAATGTAGGTCAGAGAAGAAAAGCAATACTACCATTTGTTGTAGTCAAATGTACTAGTATAGCATTTTCTTGCAATAGAAGGTAATGAAGTCAAAAATATAGTTCTTAAATATATATGGACTACATATACTAGCATTACAATACAGTTTATGCAAAACTTGAAACTTCATTTCTTTTTAAATGCAGATAGCAGAATAAGACATGTATGATAAATCAATATGTATAGTCAAACTTCATCATCTCAAACTCAGTGGGACCTAGGAAAAAAACTACATGATAACTGTGGGTTCAACATATTAATGGTAAAATACATCAAGAAAAATTGGTTGGGACTTCAAAATGACTAAAAGATATATGGTACCAAAGACATTGTATTTGAGATATGGAAGTTCAACTGTAAGCATTTTGACATGTATGAAAAAGGAACTTACATTTAAAATCATTTCGTTCTGTTTTACGATGTAGTCCAGAAGACCCTTTGCTCCTTCAATCCTTGCCAGGGGAATTTCAAGGGGAATTTGAATGCTTCCAGCCGTCCTTCCCAGTATCTGTTGCAAGACGGATGTAAATACATGGAGAATTAGTGTCAAACGACCTAACTGATCCATGTATTTAGATCCAAGAGGACTCTTAATGGATTCCATTTCTTCGGCACTGCTCATCGCTGCTGTCTACAACCATGACCGAAGACTTTTCAAGCACGCCGAAGCGTACTTTTTCCTCCATCTCATTAAAATAATCTTGTGCTACAGGAGAAAGTCTGTACACTTTAGTATATATATAGAAATATATAACTTATCTTTAGCCTGTCTCACAATTTCACGAGCCTCTTCAATCCTACCGAAATTAAAATAATCTGCCAGCTGTAATTCGTCTATTCTTTCGGACTTAAAGTCAAACTGGTTTTTGCAACCGAAATATTTGAAATGAAAGGAGCTTTTACTGTCCGGTTTCCTGAGCACCAATTCACGCCTGATATCGGATACTTGCTTCTCTAATTCCTGTCTAAAATTGGCCCTTTCGTCCCTTAAAACCGTCTTTAGTCTTCAAGAAAAGAGACTTAAAGCCTCGTCTATTGTAATGTTTTTATCCGTAGAGTTCTCCCTGGGTGGTTCTCTTTCACGTGCAATTTCTTCTCGTTCGACATCAATATTCATGGTATTATTTGCTATTTATAGCTGAGTACAAACTCGAATGACCAAAACGGCCTAGGACGGGATTTAAATACCTTGCCCAAAGCACACAAAAATAAATGCGCTAAACTTTACGCTTAACATAAGCAATATTATGAAAACGAAAAGAAATTTAACTATGTGGTTTTAGAGACCAGGTCTTCCAACAATCTATTGGAATGGCCATGGGTAGCAATTGCGCCCCGTTATTAGCAGACCTATTTTTGTATTTCCATGAAGCAGAATTTATGCAAAATTTTATGGATGAAAAAGAGGATATTGGTATTGCCTTCAACTCGACTTTCAGATATATCGATGATGCATTGTCAATTAACATTCAAGTGGTAATTTCCATTCCTACGTCGATACCATATATCCAGGAGAGCTTGAGATTAAGACACGACAGAGTCTGACACATCTGTTTCATACTTTGATATATTACTTGAAAAAGACATTAATGGTTACCTGACAACCAAGCTATATGATAAACGTGATGACTTTAATTTTTCTATCGTCAACTTCTCTTACTTATGCAGCAATATACTTTCATCACCTGCAAACGGAGTGTATATATCTCAGTTGATTCGATAAGCAAGAGCATGCTCTACGTATGAACAATTTCTAAAACGAGGTTAATTATTGACAAGAAAGTTGAACTCGAATATCAACAGTCTCGTTTAAAGTCATCATTTTGTAAGTTCTGTGGTCCATACATGTACAATGACCTTGTCATCAACTACAATTTATCACCGAGTCAAATGCTGACTGACGTTTTTCATACCAATTGTTAGTCCATTATTTAAACCCTGAATTGACGACAGATTTTTCCGTTATTTCCTGATCATGACAAGGAGCATACGGCGGGTGTGACCGGTCAGCAGGGACGCTCACTCCATGATGCAAAAGAAAAGTTGCTCCAATACTTCCACTGTCTGTAAAAAAAAAATAAAAACATTGTAATTTGAAGATCAAATGATTGATATTCAGTACTCTTTTTGTTAGGATTAAGTACCTGCATCCCTTCAGCAGCACGAGTATCACCCATAAAGAACTCGACAAGATCTGACCCTCTCAGTCCTCAGTTGGGCTGCCATATTTGTGTCCAAGTCCACTCAAGGCAGAGGAATAGTTTAAATCCTCTCATACTGCATAAGTGCTTTACTCCAGTAATGCAAAGGAAAATGTGCTCCAATATTTCCACTTGCTCTAAAATATAAAGCAGAAAAGAAATACATTGCAAGACCTTTTTAAATGAATTACTAAAACTTAAACTTGAAATATTCAAGTACACTTTTCTCTAAGGTTAATACCTGCATATGCTCAGCACCAGGAGTATCCTCCATGAAGAACTCTACAGGATCTGCCCCCCTCAGTCCTGTGATGGGCTGCCACCCTCAGCCCACAGTCCACTCAAAGCAGAGGAATAGCTATGGTGCTCTCATAATGCACTGGTGAGAAAAAAATATATGGTGGTCTCTCAATCTCGACATTTACACATCTTACAAAAACATGATTTGTCAACAAGAAGTTGAAATTTTTATACCCCGCAAACGAAGTTTAGGGAGGTATATTGGAATCACCATGTCCGTCTGTCCGTCTGTCTGTAGACAAGATTTTGTCCGGACCATTTCTCAGAAACTATTGGATGGATTTGTCTGAAAATTTGTACACTTATTATTCACCATATGAAGGTGTGCACCTGGTATTTTCATCATGATTGGTTGATTTTTCTGCATTTCACAGGCATTTTTTCTTTTTTATTTTGTTGTTTTGTTTGGCTCATAACTAGAAAACTATTAGACTTACAATCATCAAACTTGGCCAATTTATGCATCTTGGGTAGAAGGTGTGTCATGACCTATTTCAAGGTCACTGTGACCTTTAATTAAAGTGAAATTAAAAAAAATAACTGTCTTTTACTATTGAATTAAACAATCCCCAAAAATGTAAGAATGTTGCAGTATCCCTATTTAAAACATGTTAAAGCCGCTTGATCCGCAACAGGCACATATTATCTTACACAATAAAAGTACGTCATTACGTAGATAAGATATAAAAATAAATTATAAGATTGATTTTATAGTTTATTACAACAATCCTTACGAGGAAACCATAGATCAAAACCTTATTGACAAACAGAAGTTCCTGACAGGAAGTTAAGATCTGTTGTGAAGTCACCTTTGAAAAATGATAAACTTATTGCTTTTATCTTATTATGAAGATAATTCAAACCCGACCATTTTTTTCCGTAAGTAGAAGTCTAAGTCATGGAATATATAATCCATAGTAATTTTTATATCAATATGCATATTTAAAGAATAAAGGAAAATCAGATATTTTTTAAAGGAATTTTAGTAACGAAGGCTAAACAATTGTCCGTGTACAGGTATAAGTACTTCGTTGTGAAAAAAAATGCTCAGGTTCGTTCTTCATGAGATATACATGTAAGCGATAAATTTAATTTTTCGAAGGGGATTTCACGTGATATCAACATAAGATTATTTTTTGTGTGACCTAACAAAAATTATTTTTTTAACTTTTGAATTTTGATATCTTTTAAAAGAAAAAGACTTTGGGGATATAATTTCACAAAAGGTGAAACAATTTATGGACAATTATTTTTCCAGAAGAAAAACGAATATATTTTTTAGCGATTAGAATCGGACCAAGCGGCTTTAAATTAAGAAAATATTTTTTTTTATTATATACTTTACAGCAATCCATAACAAATGTTATTTTATAAGAGAAAATCTACCTCTCCCAAGGGTATAATTATGAAGCACTGGTCAAGGAGAATTTTGATAACAGAAAATTGCATGTCAAATTAGAGAGAAATTAATTAGTTTAGTGTAAGGAGCTAACTTGAAGAACATTTGTGATCAAGAATTTGTTAACTGTCTCTTGGGAACTGGGCTAAGGAATGAGCCGTAAATAGTTCTAGTGACTAGCCTAACTTATTTAATGAATTTGAGAAAAAGCAACTTCAATCTAATTTGATATTGTATAATAAACTAATTTGAAATTGTATAAAAAACTTAATTGATATTGTATAGTATAATTAAAACTAATTATATTATGTGGGGGTGGGGTGGGGGGATTGGAATCAGCATGCTCATTCTCCACATTGATTTCAGATTGAAACTTTAAGTATGATATAAAATGCAAATAAATCAAGTATTTAAAAAAAAATAAATTTTGTTAGATAGTCCCTACAAATCTTAAGAATCATGTAGGAACCTTATTCAAAATGATGCATCAAGATTACACAATTTTTTTTTCAGTATAAATCTTTGTAACAAATTTATACAAAATGTTTTCAGATTTAATTTCAGAATGACACATGCAATAATGCATTTTGCAATAATGCATTTTGTTTGCACTACAAAGGAAAAGGTTAAGATCCATTCATCCCTTGATAGGAATTAGTGGGCATGCATCCAGTAAAAGATTAATTAATGAGTTCTATGTAGGGAAGCTTAAGCTGTCTCAATCATTTCTGTTAGAGCATATCTCTGACCAAGGAGCTTTATCTGTGTCCTTTGGGAATTAGACAGAAGAACTGCTGGTCAGTTTCAATAGCATTTGACATTTGATGGCCAGTCTCCTATTTCTAAAATCAATTTGGTATAGATCAAGTTTTTAAGACATATTAGTTAAATTGATATTCTTTTTTTTTTTTTTTTGAAAATATCAAGTGACCAATTTCAGATCATCATGTCCCACATGAAAGACATGTGCATATGTGTATGTTTGTGGAGGAGGGGCATTTGTCAAGCTATAATGCAACCAGTTGATGATTATTTGTTATAATTAGAGCTTGCACCACAGGAGATGTTTAAACAATTATTATAAGGAATGGAAAAATTGCGCAAATCCCTTTAAAGGTTGACATGATTTTCTTGCACTCTAAACTGTTTATAATAATTGAATGAACAATATTTGATGGGAGTATCATGCTGAGGCTGACTGCACTTTATTATTTTTAAAATGAATTTGATATAAATTTATATAGATTAATTTGATTCTGTATAATGTTTTTTCAACAATCAATTTGCAGAGTATCATGACAAATAGTTGCAATTTATTTTTTCAGTGAAATAAAAAAAAAAACTGTTACAATGTATTGATGTTTTATTTGGTTGCACCTCAGTTTCATTAATTAAAAAAATATATAATGAGCTCTCAAATTGTTTCTAAGAAAATAGTGATACCTCTCTTGAATAGATCCATAAATATTTGTGACTTTGCACCTACTCTGAAAAACCCAGCGGGGGTATTTGTCCCTATTGGACAGTTCTAGTTTTATACGTGTTTTTATAGTGGAGATGTTCAAAAAGACATTTTCTTTGTTTGCAGACAAAAATTGAAGGGAAACCTCTGAACCCACAAAAAATATTAAAGAGAATCCACGAGAAAGGAATGGTAAAGAAAAAAAAATAATTACGCATTTTTTTTTTAATTATTAGTTTAAAGTACTCTCCTATTCCACTTGTTATTAAAATAATTAAAATGTGTTGATCTTTTTTGCAGAGGGAAATCGAAGACAAAAGAAACATCAGCCGTTATTAAGCCAAGTGCATGAAACATATAGAATATGGTTTTAATATGATAAGTACGGGATAACCATATATTTCTTAAAATCAATCCAGTGTTTTATTAGAATTATGTACCATTTGTTTTATTATAGAACATCTCGACGCTAAAAGAAAGAAAAGGCAATTAAGAGAGATCCACAGAAAAATACTGAAGTTCAATCATGAGGTACTTAAGATAAGAAATCACACTCAAACAAACGAGAAAAGAAAAGTAGAAAATATGATTATTAAATACATGTATCTGATATCAAATCGTGTTGCTTTGCAGCAAAAGATTGAGACAAAACGAAAAACTGATCCTGGAAGCATACAAACGATAACTAGTAAGAAAAGAACGGATCTCTCTTTGTAAAAAAAACTATAGATCATAGATTAAGGTAAATTCAGTAATAAGAATTTAGGACAACAAATTCTGAGTTTGTTATCATTCATATTTCTCTGTTTCTCATTCAGAGTTTTATGATACGAGAAGAAAATGCCAGTACAACAGAGTTATTTGGGTGAAAGAAAATTCAAGTACATCAAAGGTACAATTCAGATGCAGATAATACAAATCATTAATGTATTATTTTCATGGCATACGTTTTTATAATATAATTTTTTTTTTTCAAATAGCAGAATACATTACATTCCAGGTACTGGCAGACAAAGAAAGACGATTGGTTAACAGGATCGTGCTGTGTTTTCCATGTTTTTATATCAGAAAAGCGTCGTACCTAAGGAAGAATTTTATTTCATTGAACATAATACTTTTTTGGATTAAACGTAATTAACCTCAGAACGAAATTTTTTCCTTTTTCATGCATTTGTGAGGTAAATGAAGAGTTATGAAATTATGGTATTGTCCATAAAAACTAAATACATGTATACAACCCCAATCAAAAGACTATGAAAACGAAATACAATGAAAGGTATTGAAGTGTTGGAATGGAAACTTTTGGTGTATCTGTATCATACATTGTATCATGACACGCCCATTTCTTTAAATAGGAAAAAATCAGTCACATGATTCACTCGAATACCTGCATCCTCAACAACCACTGCCAAAATGTACGATCCTCTCTTATTCTGGAGAGAGCCCCATATGGAGACTCCGAACAGTGGCTTGAGACGACAGAATACCCGCGGAACAGATACATTGTATTCCATCAATATAATAGCCAATCTCATTGACAGTCTACAAAATAACCCAGAGAGCACGTGTTCGACTGATACATGTGTTATGGTCATATAAACATAATTAATTCATAATTATGTACAAATTCGCAGCAGAATTTACAGACGCGACTCTCTAACAACTTTAAAAATCTTCATTTCAGTGTAACCACAGGAGTTCGCGTACCTATCAATTATACCGAAATTTTCATTAAATAAAAAAAATACGTAATAGTACGTATAATAATAACACAAGGAGTGCAACGCATTTTAGGTCACCTGGGATTGGCTGGGAACCCCTCGCTTAATATCAAGGCTGTCGTACAATTAATCTTCAATCGAAAATTATAAAACACAAACCAATCTTTTTTGGAAGGGACCATTCTTCATGGCTCTTAATGTATATGATTTCAAACGCATGTTTTACAGCAGCAGCGGTGACATTACTCCACAACTTCGCTCAAATATCCGTTGTCCGCGACGGCATGACGTGACGTCACGGGTGCGTCCACTTACCCAAAAAGGAACAAAACTGCCTGAAATGCTTATCTAGATGATTGAGGTCATATGCGAAAAGAAACCAGAGACAAGTTAGTAGACATTCAAGAAAATTTAAAACGGGGAGGTACAAGTTCTTGTACTCGTATCTAAACGTAATATCGTAATCTCTGGTTAATTGTGTATGATTGGGTTTTTTTGGTTCCTTTT